TAAAAATACGCCGGCAATGTAGGCTAGTTGACTTGATAATGTTTGATTACTTCTAGATAATTCCTTTTGATTTTACACTTTTTCAAATATCGACTCATTAATTACCTTGAACATTTGAAGACGTCAAAGAGCACGCAACTGAGCTACATTGTTCAGTCTGTGTTGTCTTGCCATGCGCTGCACATTCATTATCATGTTTGTGTTTCTGTGTACATCGTTCACGTGATCTCTGACCCATTCCGCACATGGGTGAACAAGTTCCCCACTCTCCCCACTTTCCTGAAAATAATTCAAAAATAGACTCATTCCAAACCAATTACACCGTACAACTATCACTACATTTATGAAAATGTTAGTCTGCATACTAACCTAATTGTCTGGCGAGCGAGATAATTGTCAGATCTAGTCTTAAAATCCACTAAATCGGATTGGCGACATACATGTAAAGGAAAACCAGAAGCGGAAATACCACTATGGGGGAAGGGGGTCGATCGCTCTCCCCTCAGTAGTTTGTAATTCACCCCCACCTACTTGGTAAACTTTTTTTTACTAGCCCCAGTCTTTCCTTAATCTTGGCGGCTACTACACTAAACACGCCTGAGTAAGGAGCACTTGCTCGCCGAAAAAAGCCCTCTTTGCCAGCAAAGGAAATGTTTCAAGAGTCAATCCTTGCCAGACAAGTTGTAACATAGGAGGAAAAAAAACAATTGTCTTCATGGAAAATTTGTCATGTTGCTCTGATTTAATATCGATGAAAACCAACGTATTAATGTTATAGCAGGAAGGAAGTAAAATTTTCTGAATGAACCCTGACCAAATTAATCTTATAGACAAATCGGTCGTCTTTTAAGGCAATTCAAACAAACTGAGAAAATACTAGAGCGTCACTTTACAACGAAAGTAACATGAATAAAATGCACACATTGATTGTGACAACATAGTTCCTCTCCTGCTGACGGGGAATCAACATACACTGGAAATATCATCAACTGAAAAACGACTTTTGGTTCGACAACTGTTATGAGAAACTGATCTAAAAGATATCCTACACAACAGTTTGACGTTTTGTGTACATGAAAGTGGTGAGAGTCCTAAAAATCATAGAACTGTCAGAAAAGGACAATATTGTTATTTGCTCTACCTTCAACTTACATCATGCATCCTAATATTTGATGAATCTTTCATAATGCACTTTGTTTGAAACAATAAAATCAACTTCAAAACCTTTTTTTTTTAATTTTTTTAATTTTTAATGTTTTTTTAATTTTCCTTTTTCACGCAGCCAATGATTCTAAACCCTAGACTGGAGGTAAATCAAAGACCGACGCAATTGTTCCCAATATTTGAAGCATTTAACAAATATTCAATCCTATTCTTATTAACGTTTGCATGAAAATAAAGACAAAAGGCTCAAAATTGAAAGATAAAATATTAATAGAACTCAATACTCTGAGTGGCTTTATTCTGCTAAAATCAAAAAGCAAGCATATTTTCAGCATTTGCTTCTCTAATTGAGACATGGTTCCGGGGACAAAAGATTTGTTAAAATATAGCTTCATATAGCTGCAAGCAAGAAATTAAAATTGATGGGAATCTGGTCAGGTTGGAGTTAAGAGCGAAAACAAAAAGTTAGACATAATTCCTTAAAAAATGAGATCACTACCAGTGTTAACCTGCATGGTTGTGAACTATATTGTTTCTCTAAACCAACCATAAGCCACACACAAGCCGTTATCAATAATTCCTAATCGCACACGAATAAACCAAACAAGGGCGCGTCCAAAGTCTACCTTATAACCATGATTTTATTTTTCGCTTTCCACAAAAACTGATAAACTTTTCAAAACCAAAACCTGTCCCACATAGGATCACAAATGTCCGCGATAACAAATTATTATGAAATGGCAGATTTTTCACAGAACACGAACTCAAACTTGTAAAAAATAAAAATCGTTATCGTAACCAGAGAAAAAACAAGGGAACCTCTGCAGAAAAGTTGAAGAATTTCAAGATTTCAGTAGCAGGGAGTGGTATACCTATAAAGGTCGATTCACTTAGTAACATTAGGCAACTAACATTGTTTTTCCCGCTTTTGGCAACATCAACAGCTATAAGTAATCAGGATCGAATCATCACTTCGTAGATTCTTGTCTAATACCTTTCTTTCTACGAGGCGGCGCTGAGACTAACACGTACCACAACCAAAGCGTAAAAAATATTCGTACTAAGCGATAAAACTTTGAAATACGCACAGATCCTGTCATAGCAGTCCAGTTCTTACACCCGAAACTTAAAAATGATACTAAGAATTTCCCAATCACTTTTCCTCCTCTTGCTTGGAGAAAACGACGTGAAAATGGCATACAAACAAATTCGACAACAGCACTTTGACGGTTACACAGACTGGCATTGGTCAACCGCTTTATTGTCAAGGGCAGATTAAATAAACTGTAATTAACAAAATGTCCTAAGGGGCCGACCATTTAACTTTTGAGGGGGG